CACTACGACGCTTCAGCCACAGAGAGACTAGCGTGTCAAGCTCAAACTACAGGTGATCTGTTAGAACACATGATTTTAAACTAAAGTCAAATGAGAAAATATGTAAGCGCAAAACAACTGAAGGATGACAGAATTCAAAATCTGTTTTGTAGGGAATATTGGGATTAGGATTTTCTCCCATTACCTTGCAGATCTTTCGGTATCTGGTTAAGTATCTTCAGTATCTGGTTCAGTTATCAGGTAAGTAAGTCTTCACAAACACATTGTGCATGATGATCAACTAAAATTAAAAAATAAAAACACACCTCCATGACCCTCCCCAAACCATGCCTGACTGGAAATGCCAGTCCAGATTGACAGAGCTGCGGATCTCAAATCATTGCCCAGAAACACAGAGCTAGAAACAAGGTGCTTAAGGAGTAAATAAAATAAGTCTTTATCTGACCTAAAAGCAGCCTGAGATGATTAAAAAAAATTTCACTACATCAGGCAAAACAGATTATATTTGATTCCCTCCAACCACATGAAAAGCTCTTGAGGGAAAAACGCTGACCAACGTTTTCAGACTGTAAATCACAAGTAAGACTGGGTATGGCTTGGCAAGAGACATTTCAACAAACATTTCATCTCCACTATAAACAAACCATACACTCAAACTGACTCCAAATCAGTCTCATGAGATTTCAGCTGCAAGCTGCTCACTGCTGGTACAATTCTGCCAGTGACTCACTGAAAGAGGATCAGTCTTTTTGGTTACAACTTACCTCAAAAACAAGCTAGCCACCGTGATTAATTTTAGAGAGAGCTATTACTGTTCTTTCTATGGGTTTAGGCCAAACAAATGATTTCAAGATCTGGGCTCAGATCAAAACAGACCACTTGCATCTCAAGTGCAACCTGTGACGAAATTCCTCTAATGCACAGCATCAATTAAACCTTGATGGTTTTATAAACTACTGACCCAACTTCATCCACAAATGTCTGACTAGTAGTAGTTATAAAACTCCAACCACCAACAAGTGTATCTAACTTTACACGCATACCGTTTATTTATATCATCGCAAAATGTAAACTATATCATTGCACAGCTTTCGATTTACATTTAAATATACCCAAGGTAATTTGCATACATACAGTGCACTCAGCCATAGCAATGCATACTGTATAGCAAACCACGGATTAGTGTTTTTATCATCACAAAATGCACATTAAATTATCAAGATTTTCTATAACGCTACTTTGAAACAATGTGTATGCTATTGTAAGTAAACCTGACTTGACTTAAAAAGCAGAACAAGGCAACCACATCTATATTAAATCTTCCCAACTGCTGAACTTTCTGCAAGGGTATAGCAAGTAAACAAGAGACATACTACATCTTCTTAGACACCAACTAAAGAAATCAAAGTGAAGCCAACGTGGCAAAGTAATATCTGGAATAAACTGTTGACATCTCAAAACAAGCATTTTTGAAAACACAAGGCTCTTCTTTCTGTGGTAAAGAGGAAACCTATTAGTTAAGACTGTTGCGTTGTTTCCTGTTTGTACAACAACACTATTATTATACCGTTTTGCTGTGAAAAACAAGCAGCTAAAGAGGTTTTGAGTTGACAGGTAAACTAGAGAATCATAAGCTGTATTTTCTTGTAGCTAACTAAGCCATGATCTGACATGACCATTTAGGAAACCAAAACAAGTTTTGTTTGGTAGTAAATGGGTCGATGATATTTCTGTTTTTTAAAAGATAAGAAGGATAAGACTCACCTGGCCAGTGGAGTCAATCATGGGTAACAGTGGTGTCCTGGTCGACATCTTCTGAGGCTGGATTTGGCTGGATCTGAAACTGAACGTGTTCACAGCTCTCACAATTCAATCAAATGTGACATCGGCACAGCACGATGAGAAGTGTCCAAAGTCCAGCTTGTAAAGAGCCCCTGAGCTCGGTGCGAGTCCCCAAACCAGTACAGATTAGCTTTTAAAAAAGTCCCGTCATTAAGTCATAGTTTGTTTACTAGTCTCGGCAGGAACGTGAATTTTATTGAAAAATTTCGACGAACCCTATCGGCGGGTGTCAACACTGAATGCCGACTTCCTATGTAATTTTCTACTGTTAACGTAGTAAATGTTCTGGTAAATTACAGCATTAAAGAAGAGACAGATTAATCTGAACCCTCAGCTGATGAAAAACAACAAAATTGTTCCCAGCACAAATGTGCAAAATCGAGTCCGAGGACTTCCAAGTTTTATTAGGCCGGGTGGCAAAAGGGTCCCTAATTTAGCCGTAACTATCAATACTCGGCTGTATATTGTTGTGCATCTGTAATGTCAAAAATTTTCGTTTTCTTCTTCTCAAGCCTGAGGAAAGACACATGAAAGTCCCGCTTAGCACACAAAAAACTTTACAGCAAGTTATCGAGCTGCTCCTTCCAGTCAGCCAAGCAGCGCTCAGATCAGCGTTACTCCGAGTAATGATCCGTCATACAGGTGTCAACATGCCCGTTTCAAAACCAAATCAAATACCTGATGTCGTCTCGAGGTGACAAACTAACGATCCGAGCACAAAATCACCGCGGAGATGCTCGTATACTGGCTCTCTGCGCCTCTGAAAATCACATCTAACCTGCTAACGCGCGTTAGCTGGCCGGGTGACTTCGAAAAAGTCGCAGATATTTTGACAGTATGATTGTAAGAATAGGTCCTAACCGTTGCCCGGTTGTTAATGGCTGTAAAATGGTCGGTTCCAGTCGTTGGTACGCGACAAATTACATCCGTGAGCCGTGAAAAGCCGTACAGTCGAGCGGTCACGACTGGTACCGCAGCAGCGCCGGACGCCAGTGTTGTTTGCGTTCAAGAGAAATGTGAAACCAGGCTGTGGTGGATCGACTTCTTCTGCCTCTCTCACATGGAGCTTTAAAATAAAAGTCTTTTATTCATTTTATTCGTTCGTTTTAAAATTAAAGCATTATATGTATATTCGATATGCAAAATGAGCTGGGGTTTTTTTGTTTGTTTTAATAATAACGTCTTTGTAAATCAGTTATTTTTGTGTTAGGCTCATGTTAGAAACAGAACAAAAATCGAACCTCACAGTGTGTGTGTGTGTGTGTGTGTAAAATATAAATTTGTACTTTAAAAATTCACATAATTATATTGAAATGTATGTGCATTTAGTACATTTTCCTCATTAAAAAGTTTTGCATACAAACATGTGAGCATATGAGCAGTGCTTTTGGAAAAATCTGTTAAAAATGATGCATTCTCTCATAAGATGAAGACACCATTCAGATTCTACATGGGATGAGTTCTTTAATGGTGGTTGCCATGTTTAGATCACTGAATAAATTAATCACAGATGCCAAATACACCTGTGAATACATTCTACCTGCAGTATACCTGTAAGTACAAAATACCATTACTGTAAAATGCAAATAGAACCTCTTTGGGATTACTGTCGAATTACAGATCATTCTCATTTTACACATAGAGAGGGATGTGGAAATTTCTGTATCAGGAAAAAAGTGAAATGAGTGGCATAAAAAAAATGTAACTAAAACAGAAACTAAGACTTTTCATTACTAAAAAGATAACACCTCAGGAAAGCAGTAGCAGGTGAACCTCTATTAATTTAAAATAAAACGTCCCTGAAGAAATTCATACAGGTTTGGAACAAGTTCGCCTGCTACTGGTTTCCTGAGGTGTTATCTTTTTGATAAGAATGTGGGGAACCAAACAGTTGACGGTAGCCACTGACTTCCAACATTCTTCAAAATATCTTCTTTGAAGTTCCATAGAAGAAAGAGTATACATATATATATATATATATATATATATATGTGTGTGTGTGTGTGTGTGTGTATATATATATATATATATATATCTATATATATATATATATATATATCTATATATATATATATATATATATCTATATATATATATATATATATATCTATATATATATATATATATATATAGGCTTTTTTTTATTTGTATCCTTCTTTTATTGTTTCTCTAGTGCTTAAATGCTTTGTGTCATTATTGTTTGTTTCTTTTAGCCTTGTAAAGCACTTTGGTCAAAACCAGTTGTTTTTAAGTGTGCTATACAAATACACTTGTTTTGTATATTGTATTGTATAAAGAAAGTCGTACAGGTTTGGAACAACATTAGTGTGTGAAAATGATGACAGAATCTTCCTTTTTTGGATGGATTTGGATTTTCCCTTCAACAACAATTGCAAACAAAATGCACAGTACTGTAAATGTGAGCAAATACTGTTTCTTGAAGCTCCAGAGGAAGGCAATGAAATCACACATCAGTGCAAACCAGATAAACAGTCTTTGAAAAGGTTATGCGATCATTTAGCCGTGACTGTCAAACTGTTTAATAAATTTGACTGCAATATGCTGTTTAGCAGTCTTGCCTGCATTATCTGCAGATTGAAGTTGTTCTAAAGTCTGATTGAGCTGAACTGAAAATTGTACATATATACATTACATATTTTTGCCATGCATTTTTCTTTTTTTTTTTTTGTTGCTAATCTCTATGGCATTCTGATCTGGACTGTGAATGAAGGAATGAATACTCTGCTGCCATCTCTAGGCGTTTTGTGGAATAAAATCAAATAAGGTGTAAAGCAAAAATAATGCCTTTTTTTTACACTTTACCTTTTTTTATTTCCTTCTTTTTTTTGTCCAGAACATAAACAGAAGATACTTTGAAGAACACTAAGGTCCAAGAATTTTCAGTTTTGGGTGATCCCTTTAGTTTAAAGAGTCAAGGTGAATGTTAAGCAAATAATCCTTGCCATTGTGAAACTTCCGATTTTAAAGGTTATCTGGGAAAATCTCCCTGATAAACTAAATATCGTGTGAAAAATACTGCATGTTTTATATGAGCTACGTTATATGGCCAGCGTTTCGTCATTGGTCTAGGATGATGTCACCTGCACCGAAACCCCGCCCCTCATCCTCCACATAGCGCTGACTGTCTGATGCACACGCACAGTACACAGAAGCGCACGTTGCGTTGCGCTGGTGTACACATGGTTATTGTGTTAATTGTGTACATTTGCGAGGACAAGCGCTCTGAACAGTATGAGGAAAAACTGCCTGAATGTCATATCCCGATGGACATCACTGGATTTTTAAAGTGTAACCCGCACATTAAGGAAGACCATAGATAGCCTAACTGCAGCTATGTAAATGTCTCGATCGGAATAGTCGCGGGGAGAAACACAAGGATCTCATTTATCACAAAACATGAAGATACAGCGGACGTACAGCTTATAACGTAAGTCATTTTTTCACCTCGTTTTATTTTTGAGGCCTTCATAATATGCAATCATGTATCTGTGTGTTTCCAGCAATAAAGGGTAGTCTACTTAATGGCCACTCTATATTTTGTTTCAACAAAATGTCGCCCAATGAGAAAGTGCGAAAAGCTGTTATTCATATTCAAAAAGTAATGATGATAAAAATCTTCCCTAGTTCACGTTCTAGAGCTTGTCTATAAGGATGCCCATTAGAAATCCACGCAAAACGTTCGAATTGTAATGCAAATGCATTTGAAATATAATAAGCATCGTTTCTTTTAGCATTCACACTGAGATGGTAGTGAAACTGAGCTCAAATGGCGAAGAGACACTGAACTACAGTGAAAGCGCATTTGAATTTGCGTGACAGCATCAGCGTGGCCTAACAAGTGACAGTCAATACAGTTGCAAATCTGTGGCGGACGTTCTTGTTTTCCCTTTCAGAGACTGTAGGCCTGTATAATATTGTGCTTTTAATATATATAATATTTTTTGGGGGGTGAAACATCTATGTAAGCGTTTGCTCAGATGTCGCATAACGCGCATTTTTTGCTTGCACAGTTTGTAGTAGAGACGTTAGAAACAAAGGCTCCTAATTAGTGCTGTGATTCCGCTTTCCAGTGAGAGAAACTGGAAATTTAGGGGCAATGAACGTAATGACGTGTGACGATGCGCGAAATCATTCCAGTGGATTTCAGCTTCTTATCTTGTTAACCTTCCCACAATTTTTATAATGGTTTAAAACAATGCAGTCATTTCACTAGGCAAAGAGTTGAGCAGGCCCATGCAGACTGTTGACTTGAATTTAAAGGGGTCATATGATGCGATTTCAATTTTTCCTTTCTCTTTGGAGTGTTACAAGCTCTCCGTGCATAAAGAAGGTCTGTAAAGTTGCAAAAACTAAAGTCTCAAATCCAAAGAGATACTCTTTATAAAAGTTCAGAGTCAGCCACGCCTACCTAAAACGGCCCCACATGTCTACCTCACTATGTTGGAAGATTTGCATAACGCCGCCCAAATGTTCACGCAAAGAAAGAAGGCGTCTTTGGAGTGTTACAAGCTCTCCGTGCATAAAGAAGGTCTGTAAAGTTGCAAAAACTAAAGTCTCAAATCCAAAGAGATACTCTTTATAAAAGTTCAGAGTCAGCCACGCCTACCTAAAACGGCCCCACATGTCTACCTCACTATGTTGGAAGATTTGCATAACGCCGCCCAAATGTTCACGCAAAGAAAGAAGGCGTAACTTTTAGTCTCACTGTAGTATTGTTGACGCTGCAGCCATGTGGTAAAGACGCTGTGTGCTTCGTTGTGAAAGCGAAACTACTTTGTTTGGTCTTCCAAAAGAGGACGATATCCGCTTCGTCATATACGAATGAGCGGCAACCACATGTGACGGATATCCGCATCGATATTCCGGGGTCCGTCACATGTGGTTGCCGCTCATTCGTCGCATCTGCCGGGCGCGCCGTTCTCGACTCCGCCGCCTCAGCTCGCTCCAGCCCAGCCTCAGCGCACCCTAAGCCGGGGCTTCCCCTCACGCTAGGCCGCTGTGTTGTTCGTTTGTGAAAGCGAAACTACTTTGTTTGGCCTTCCAAAAGAGGACACGACTACAAATCAGTGGTTAAGTTGTATTTACAACACTGTTCCAGAGCAGTTTAACCCAAATATCCAGATTTGTGCAGCACATTTTATGGAGGACTGTTTACTGATCCTGGGAGAGTAACGTTAGACTACAAGCCGGCTGTTCTGACTCACGTAAGTACGTTTTCATTTAAAGGATTTGCCACTGATGATTCAAACGCGAGTTTTGGGCAGTAGAGTAGCCCTTGTTGTTTGTCATTTCTCCGATCACAAATGCAGAGTTTTATGTTGACGCGGCGCGATGCAAAGCAACGCGTAAAAAGACAGTATAAGTCATTATAATCAGTAAATATGTCCCCAATGGATGCAACAAATGCCTCGTTTGTAATGGGTTTTAATGTTGTCTCGTCGCTCTGGCCTGACAGGGCATCAACAGTATGTGAGGGGCGTAACATTTCCGTCTCACGCTTGAGGTATTTGGCCAATCACAACGCACTGGATAGCTGGCCAATCACAGCACACCTCGCTTTTTCAGACCGATGAGCTTTGTAAAAATCGACGCGTTTCAGAAAGGCGAGGCATAGAGGAGAAACAATAATGTACAGTATGTGGAAAATAATGTGTTTTTTGAACTTTAAACCGCATAAACACATTTCATTACACCAAATACACAAAATAATGTTCTTTTTAGCAGCATCATATGACCCCTTTAAAACATGCAGAGAAATTATGTACGCCTGTCTATAAATTAAAGATAGATGCTTGTTACAACATACTAAATAGCAATTAGGTTAAGCCTAAATAATGAAAAATGTTAATGTTGTCACAAGAATAATTCTTATTACACATTGATTGGGGGAGCAATCATTCTAGTTGATCAATTCAAGTGGCATTTAATTTGTTAAAATAATTCTTGCACTGACACTTTCTTGTCACAGTATTTTGTAGGTTACTGATAAATGACCAGCAGATGAATATTTAATATGACTTGATGGTTAATAACATTTCTTCTTTGAGACTTAGAGACTTAATTCACCTTAATATAGCTCTTAATGATAAATATAAAAATATCTAACATTAAAAAAATTACTTCCTCAGTATTAAATCTGTGTTACATCCCTGTCGCAGACAATTTTATAAAGTGTGGGGACAAAATCAGCCATGACCATTATGAGATTTAGGTCTTTCAGTGATGTATCAGATACAGTGCATGTTTGTTTTTATGGTTCAGTTACCATTTTGCTGCAACATTACTGTATTTACACAACTGCACACTGTTCTTTGTGGTGATATCAATGAAACCTGATCATTGTAGTTGTTTTTGTGCTCAGCCGGTACCTGAGCTCATCAGTGCTGATGCTGCACATCTCTGACACAAGCACATGCTGATGCCCAAGCGTGTGCTGCTGTTCCACTGCTGTACGTGCTTCATTGCAAAAAAAACATTACACACATGGTTTCTGTGTGAAATACTGCTGATAAGATGTTTAGTGTGTGAGTTAAAGTGATTGGAGTGATGTTGACTTGCAATATGACAAATCTGGGTCAATGTTACCACCCACCCCCCTTCACTACCACAGGCTACAAAAGGCAAGACTGAAAAAAGCAAAGAGGATGAGGATACCATCACCAGGCTCTGTGCGTGAATGTATGCATGTGGAAATAAGAGCATGGTGTGCTGGCTCTGTCCTGGGGTCATTTGTGTGTGTGTGCGTGGGGGGGGGTTGTGTTGGGGTATATGTCTGAAGTGCTGTTGTGCATGTCCCCCTCCTCCACGAGGTCAATGGATGATCCAGCCATGTCACATCCTGTAACTGTTCTCTCTGAGCTGCTTTATATTCTCTTTTACACATACACATTTTTTCATCCTTCTCTTGAGTCTTTTTTCTGTTTTCGTCATTCTGTACTTTATTCTTAAAGGAATAAAAATGAAAATTCTGTCATTATTTACTCATTCTCTTTTCATTCCAAACCCAATAATTTACTTTGTTCTGTGGAGCACAAAGAGAAGCCTATTTTCCATGATATTTTTATGCAATGACGATGATGAGGGACTGAAGATGCATTATAAAATTGGTCAATATGACTTGTACATATTCCAAGTCATTATCCAGTCTCTATTTATTGCAATACCTCTGAAAATACCAACACAAATGCTCTCCTTTTGTGTTCCGTTGAAGAAAGAAAGGTGTACGGGTTTGGAGGATGAATAATGGCTAGATGTTCATTTTTAACTGATCTATTCCTTTAACCTTCTTTTGGTCTTTTCATTGACATTTCATAATGTCTAATACGATCGTTTCAAACTGTCATTATTTAGAATAATGAGCTGATCTTCTCTGCTCTGTGGAGAGGTGATTAGTGCAGCCATCAGATTATATTTCTATTATTAGAAGAATGATAACATTATTCCATTTACATTTCATTACATGTTTGACTATAACAGATGTTTTCGAAATAAACTCTGTAAATGTGTGTCTTAATAATCTCCAGCAAAACAATGACTTTTTATAAACAGTCAAGAAGACAAGGATGATATATTGCAGGACAGTCGTGATAACCAAGAATACTGCATGCAGAGTATCATCAAATTATCTCAATATTACCCTGATGTGACATCACTACAAAGCTGCCTCCTAATTTGTATAGTTCTTTACACGGTTTGCTTGCATGCTTGTAAGGATTATTTTATGCCTTCGATAAATGTGAACCCCTGGAATTTGTTAACAAGGGTACTGGGTCAGAAAGATTTTTCTGTTACTTTAGAATTTCTCCTACCGACAAGACTGTGACATACCCTTGTGCTGTTCATTATTGTTTCACAGTGTTTAATAACTAGTAAGGTTGTGAATGACTAACAGAAGACTGTCTTCTGTACTTAACTCATCACAATTGTTGATGTAATTCCTTGTGCTGTGACTAATATTAAAGGGTTAGTTCACCCAAAAATGAAAATTAGGCTGTGTTTTACTCACCCCCGAGGCATCCTAGGTGTATATGACTTTCTTCTTTCAGACGAATCCAGTCAGAGTTAGATTAAAAATTGTCCTGGCTATTCCAAGCTCTATCATTGCAGTCAGCGGGTGTTATAGGGCTTTAGTCCAAAAGAAGTTAAATAAAAAGCGCCCATCCATAAAAAAACCACCGTCTCACACGGCTCCGGGGGGTGAACAAAAGCCTCCTTTAGCGAATCGATGCATTTTTGTAAGAAAAATATCCATATTCAAAACGTAATAATCACTTTAATCTAGCTTGCGCTCACTGTTGTAAACGGAAGCCGTTCCGGGCTGATGACGTATGAGGTCGGCTTTGCGGTCGGAAACGCAGCGGAGAGATCAAAACAAAACAACGGTCACTAATTAGAAGTACAAAACGCAACGCTGGCCTCATACGTCATCAGTGGCGCAAGCTAGATTAAAGTGATTATTACGTTTTGAGTATGGATATTTGTCTTACAAAAACACATCGATGCGCCACAGAAGGCCTTCGTTCACCCCCCGGAGCTGTGTGAGACTTTTTATTTTATGGATGGGCGCTTTTTATTTCACTTCTTTTGGACTGATGCACTACAACACCCGCTGACTGCAATGATAGAGCTTGGAATAGCCAGGACAATTTTTTATATAACTCCGACTGGATTCGTCTGAAAGAAGAAAGTCATATACACCTAGGATGGCTCTGGGGTGAGTAAAACACAGCCTAATTTTCATTTTTGGGTGAACTAACCCTTTAACTGTATATGCAATACTGTGTGTCTTCAATGTTCATATTTTAAAAATTACACAAGTACCATAATGAATGAACACTATTAATATTAATTAGTCTTTTATCTTTTTGCATCCTAACCACACAGCTTCGCTCAGCCCCAGATGCCTCCGCTCCCTCTTGACGAGCGCATAGTGGTTATTCAGCGGCCCAAAAGTTTGGCCTTGCGCGTGGCCTCCCCACCAACCACTTCACAGTCTTCCTCACACCGCCCAGCCACTCACAACGAGCCCCCACCCCGCTTACCACAACCCCAACCCCCACCACCCCATTCCCATCCAGGTTCCAAATACCTGTCTCTGGAATGCAAGCACAGGCAATCTTCCCATGTTCAGAGAGATAAAGGAGAACGAGGTGCTCCCTTTGAGGGCAGCGGCCACAATACTAGCCATTGTCACAGCAATGGGACAGTAACTTTAGGTCCCAGACCTCACAAGCACACGCATACCATTGACATTAGAGTGTCTTTGGACAAAGGTGGAAGAGGAGGATCTTACATAGACCAAGGCCGCAGCAGTAGTCTTACCCGAAGTGGAAGCATCAAAGGGAACAGAACTAAACGGGTGTCACTGCACTTGGATCCAGGGCAAGGCGAAAGGAAATGCAAAGGAAAGTCTTCCGAATTAGTGGAGAAGCACCACCAGAACCATCATCAGAGTCAAAACCGGACTCAGCACAGTAGCCATCATCCGAACCAACTCACAGTCTCTCCTGGAGGGATCTTAGAATTTGTACCAGCGCAGAGACAGCAGTCAAAATCCAAGCCAACAAGAGAGAGAGACCTGTCATCAAAGTCTTACTCTGCAACTGCCAGCCACCCATTGCACAGTGAGAGGGACGTATCATCTGTAGGAAACAAAGAAAACTCCAAACTGGGACCCGGCCACCAACTGCCCCACGCCCACAGCCTATCCCGTCACCACAGTTCAGCCCCATTACCCCATGCTGCCATCCTAAACCCTCACTACCCTGCTGTACCACCCTCACTCCCTTCCCGAGCGCCTTCCTCCTACCAGCACATCAGTCAACCCCGTCCCTCACACACTAGAGAACATCGGCCCCAAATTCTTCACGCTTTACCCCTCTCCCCTACTTCCTCCCAAGGAGGCTTCCCCAGTCCTGACCACACATGTACAATTGACTTTTCCCACCCTTGTGGCTGTTGGAGGTTGGTTCGTTGTAGAAGAGGTAGAGGTCACTCGGCTGGCTGCCACGGTCGTAGTACAAGCCCATCCTCTTCATTTTCCCACGCCCCAGGAACAAGTGCTGCCAACGGAGGTGGCGGAACCATGGGATTGAAGACTTTAGGAGGGTGTCTGTCAACTGCTTCCACCACCAACACCTCCTCTTCCAACAGCACTGTCTCGGACTGTCGCACAGGGCTGCTCAGACCTTTGGGTTGTGCATCCTGTTCTGGAGAAGCTGGAGGTTTTGAGAGCCCTGCTGCTTTCCGTAAGAAACTGGTTGGGGGTTGTTTACCTTGTACTCCCCTTTCCTCATCTGCACCTCTTCGAGCACTCCAGAGTTGCGTCAGTGGGTGCAATCCTAAAGCAAGCCAAACTGGCAGCTCCACGTGCAGTTACTGCAGTAGTGACCCCATTGTAGTGACCTTTAACCCGCACAGAGGGAATCCTCCCAACATGGGGCGTAATATTGATGCACATACCATGGGAGGATACCAGCCTGATGATGACGATTACAGTGTACGCACAATCTGGCCGGAGGAGCTAGCGAAAAAGATGACTCGCTCTAAAACTCAGCCTATCCATCACAATGCAGGTATTGGAATGGGCTCAGGGAGGACCTGCATGGGCCACAACCAGAATAGTGGCAGTGGTGGCAATCCTGTAATCCTGGACTGTCGGAACCTTATGGAGTTCACTCGTTCCCAGTTGACAGATCAGGCAGGACGACGGAGGCTCCAGCAAGGAAAGATGGCTGTTTTGGACTTTATCGGATCAGGGAATAGTGGAGACCAGGGTAGAGATTCCCTCAAGCGGCTTTGGAACAAAGGAGCAGATGCTTGCATGGGGGATGGCAATGGGTTTGATGATGAAGTGCTTCCACAATCCCTATCCCTCCGCTCTCCATCTCCAGATTCCCCTCCATCCTTCTCACCCCCACCCTCTGCTCCTAGCACGCTTATTAAGCCCAAACTCAAACAGCGAGAGAGGGAAGGTGGACACACCTTACCCTCAGCACAGTCGCTCCACTTGGTCCTCAACTCACTCAACAGAGAACAAGATGAGGAAAATGGACGAGGTAAAGTTGCTAATGTGCAAGTACACAGCAGGTTGAGTGACATCTTTATAATGTGTTTTTTTGACCATTCGACAATTCAGAAAGATGAACATAATCTCTTCACATTGCCAGTCCCACTTGAATGTACTGACCTTGATTTCATTTTCTCATCTTCCATTAGGCTGTATGACTTTCTGCACTGATAGTATTCAAATTAAAATTATAGTTCAGTTAATCTGTGGGGTGCATAATCCTCCTTAGCCTAGCTTCAGAAGAATGCCAGAGTTACATTGATGCCCTAGTAATGTAACTCAAGTTCAAGTTTTTCTCCTTAAACACTTTCTACCTTTAATTATTTTTCTTAAAACTCGGACTGCTTTATTCTCTGTTAGATAACTAAAGGATAATAGCCATTCTGTGGAGGGAGAGTGATGGGACTTCAAACAGGAAAGATAAGGAGGAAGGATTAAAATTATTTTAAATTATTCGATTTTCTTACATAAGGCCTTGATGACATCATACTCTGACAGGATTTTAACCCGTCATTTTTAATTGACTGAAAAGAGTCCTATACCAGCATACCTCTCTTAGATGGTCACACAGAGTGAAGTATTTAAACATATAAGAAAACAAAAGTACTTCTTGGAATGATGTTTCTGAGACACATGCTGCAAACTCTGCTCCCTACAAGAGGGCACATTGTTCTTCCCAAAAACACAACTAAATGAAAGTAGATAATAATCAAACTTTTCCCTCCCTCTTTCTTCATCCCTCCCAGCTTCACTATCTGAAGAGAGTGTCATGACCCCAGATATGGAGAATGCTGTGATCAGCCCCATCCTCCCTTTCCTTTTTCTTGGCAACGAGAGAGATGCACAGGATTTGGATCTACTGCTTCGTCTCAACATTGGTTTTGTGGTCAATATCACAACCCATCTTCCCCTCTACCACCTGGACACAGGCTTGGTGCGTTACAAAAGACTCCCTGCCACTGATAACAGCAAGCAGAACCTGCGACAGTATTTTGAAGAGGTTTTTGAGTTTATTGGTAAGAGAAATTGTCAACTCTTGTAGTTTAAGCATTTACAAGGGGGAAGTCGTGGCCTAATGGTTAGAGAGTCGGACTCATAACCCAAAGGTTATGAGTACCGGCAGGGATTGTAGGTGGGGGGAGTGAATATACAGCGCTCTCTCCCACCTTCAATACCACGACTGAGGTGCCCTTGAGCAAGGCACCGAACCCCCAACTGCTCCCCGGGCGCCGCAGCATAAATGGCTGCCCACTGCTCCGGGTGTGTGTTCACGGTGTGTGTGTTTTCACTGCTGTGTGTGTGCGCACTTTGGATGGGTTAAATGCAGAGCACTAATTCCAAGTATGGGTCACCATACTTGGCCACATGTCACTTCACTCACTTCACTTAATTTCTTAACAAGTGCAGGTTTTTATGGGGTATTTAAAATCATCTTCTTGCCATGTTATTTCTGATACTTTCTATTTAAATTGTACATCAGAACTGGAGGCATGTGACCATTTTTTGATGTGTGCCACACCTCTTTTTTGTTTCAGAGGAAGCTCACCAGTGTGGACGGGGCGTTCTTGTGCACTGCCAGGCAGGTGTGTCCCGCTCAGCTACTATAGTCATTGCTTACCTGATGAAGCACACCCTCATGACCATGACTGATGCCTATAAGTATGTGCGCGGTCGGCGGCCAATAGTCTCCCCCAACCTCAACTTCATGGGCCAGCTGCTAGAGTTTGAGAGAGACCTCAACTCTGGGGTAACACCTCGCATCCTCACCCCCAAACTGAGTGGCCTGGAAACACAAGTTTAAAAGGGTGGCGCAAGAAAGAAGATTGTGACAAAACACGAGGGGAGAAGGAGATAAATAAGAAGAGGGAATTGATGGACAAAAAAACATGGGTAAGAATAAAGCCGTTTAACGATAACAAACAGTTAAGGATTTGAAGAGAGATGACCGAAATAACTAGAAGATGAAAGCAGTCCGAAAGAAATAGAGGAAATAGTCTTGGTCTATTTTAATTGAAGTATCTCCACGCTTTCTGTTTCATATAAATAGCACTTATTTGACACATGCATCACATTCGAGACCCAAGAGCTGTAGCAAACTTCAAACTCCTTTTCCACTGTGCACAGAACATTTCTTGACAGATTATTTTTGATTTGGGAGATCATTTGAAGGCACTTTTAGGGTTACTTTGCATTAGCTGCCAACTATTTATAAATTTGTCCACTGACATGAAGATTCATTTTGCCTTTGAAATTTTTTCGATACTGCTATTTTTGTTACTTGATTTTACATCTTGCATTCTTTATCTTAGTGTATTTGTGTGGGAGGTGTGCAATAGTGTTGATGTGGAAGTGGAACTGATTTAAGTAATTTTCACTTTCTTTCTTTTTTCTTGGGACATGAACCAGCCATTCTAATGGCAGATATTATCCAAAAATCATATATTTCTTTTTTATTTCTTGCTTATGATATATAACAGATGGCAATTTGTATAAAGCACTGTGTAATGAAAAAAAATGTGTTAATAGGAAAAGTGGATAATAGACTATAAAATAGTTTTTTTATTTTCTGTCTTTTTTATTCAACTCGCTATTTATTTTACTTTGGGCAGGCAGTGCAATGGCTTAAATTTACTCAGATTTAATTTAATATAATTTTTTTGTGCTTTCTGTATGTTTTGTTTTTTTGTTTGTTTTTGTGATGCAGATGGTGATAAGAATTTAACATTTTATATATGGAATATGTACACTGTTTATTGCTGTGCGAAATTACTGTGACTGGAGCAGATTGGGCCAAGTCATCAACATGAATCTCACTCTTTAGTATGAGTTGAATTTGCAATTCAAAATTGCACATCAAGATGACAAGTAGATATTTATAGTTTATGCAAAATCAGCATGAAAGTTCCAAGGTGATAGTGTGCAGGTGTAGCTAAAACATTAAATGTGTTTTCCATCATTTGCTTTTCTGTCATATTCAGTTCATTGCATAAGAAAAATGAACACCCTTATCAGCTTTAATGCCTGCCCTATTTTTAAACAGCCTGCCTAATTTGACCATGATCAGATTTTAGTGCTCTCAGGACTGTAGGCAAACAATCTGGTTCTGTATTACGTACCACAAAGGAAACCAGAGCCCCTTCCTCCATTTAAATTCTTCCTTCATTTTCCTACCTTATTTTTCTTTCTCTATGTCCTCTAAGAGACTATGCATTATTATGGGAATACATTCTGTGAAAAAGACTTGGTTCACTCAGTTCACTGTGAAACATTCTTCTTCCTGCATATTGTCAATTTCTCAGCCTTGGTCCTTGAAGCCGCCTCTCCTCAGTCTTGTCTGCTGTCTCTGAGCTCTTATCTTCCTCACTGAGCCACTGGGCCTTCACACACCACTGCTGTGTCTCCATTAATGTCCTCTGCCCAGCAGGGCGTGACAAAGTATACTATTTTGAATTTCAGTTCAAAAACCCCCTACAGTAAAGACACGTGAAGGTGTTTTCTTATAGGTACAAGACCTCAGAAATGCCCCCAAAATTTTAACATCTGTCTGATTTATCTAAGATGGCTGCTATGGATGACCAGTTCAGTGCCATTGCTGTGTTATTTTAGGGTCAGCTGCTGCTTGTATTTGACACGCTGACTGTTTCTTTCTGTCTCTCTTTGCTGACAGTGTTTTTGTCGGACTGTGTAGCTTGATTATGCCCTGAGGAAACGATTAGGTAAGCAACACCTAATAAAAAGGTCTCAGTGAGGTGACAGAGTGCCGAGAAATCAGACAAGTCTTAATCTATAAAGCAGGATTGGGCAAAATTTGGAATTCAAGAATCGGCCTCCTTTCAGTTCATGAGTTTGAGTTTGATTTGAATTGACCACATGCCACAGCATATTGAATTGAAATGACAAGAGGAATTCAAAGAAATTCAACACACACTTGCATGCCCTCATGTCTAGAATCCATGAAACATCCCGCACAATACTGTACACAATAATTTCAATACTAATTCCTTAAATTTAAATTTGAATCACAATTCTCCTTTTTGCTACCTCAATTCAAATTCAGGAATTGAATTGGAATTTAAAAGGCATTCTCAGTTCTGTTATGAATGCCACACAACCCTGCTAAACATGGATGCTGCTGCTAAGCATTTAGACTAACAATATGTATTTTTAAAACTTGAATTATTTCTACTTTAGAGTATAATTGCTGAACAGATCCTTTGGTATATGACATGAAGTACATTTTTCTTCCATTATTTCTTTGAATCCATCGTTTACCATTTCATTAAAACTGCCAGTTGCCACCCCCAAGTCTGCATGAGAACATGTGTAAAGTGTGTTTTACGAGAAAATAAATGCCGGGGATGCCTTTTGGTACAATAACCGTCTTCCGAGTCAATGTAGCACCTATTAACGGAAAGAAATGGATGCACTTGGAAGTTTTGTAATTGTTTGGGTTTGTTTTGCTCTGTTATATATCTGTTTGCTGCACAAAAGTGTGCATGTGTGTGGATGCGAGAAGTCAGTCTTTGTGTTTTCTGTGTGCTAGACATGTTGAGACCAGAATAATGTGGGTGAAACTTTCCTAACATTTTACCAAGAATCCCAACCTCAGGCCTGTTAAATGTCCATTGGCACAGCTCAAGCTTCTCTGTAAGCTTGCATCTGTCAATGCCATGAGCCACTGCTGTATGCCTTCTTTACCCTTCATTTGCTCTTCCAGACATTGGGGGAAAATGTACCTCTTTGTACATTCAATCATACCTTTCACTGTAGATAAAAAATATTGCGTAGGCGTACCAAAAACACCTGGTAACACTGAATGAATAGCGCTGGACATCACAGACCTGACGAATTGCTGTTGGCTGTCCACATCTTGAGTATCTCATTGTATGAAAGCCGAATTTGTTTATAAAATGTGTGCAAAGCATTGAAACTGGATACTATATATGACCAGTATTTCCTGTGTTGAATAATCTTATATACGGTATATGGTTTGCACATAGAAATGAACTAAATGTAAAGTTTTGTGTAGAATTTGTTTGTAAATTTGTGAATTGATTCTTTCTGTGACTTTATTCATGTATGTAATGCTTGTTCTTTTTTTAAATTATTATTATTATTGTTATTATCTAATTTTTGTGCCAAATACTGAAATGATGGTTGGCATCTTAATATTGACAAAAAAGAAGTGCCCTCTAGGACAGAACATGTTTGAGCTGCTCGGTTATCAGTGTTTTACCTTGTTCTCCAGGCAATGTTGTTGTCATACTCTGTTACTGTAACTTTACACTTTACCTGCTGATTTTCTTACCCACTAACCTGCTAAATTGCTAATTTAAATGTTATATTTTCAAATGTTAATTTGTTTTGTTTCGTCATGGCAATTTGATCAGAGACTCTTTGGGTAGAGGTTTATAGCGATTCCTCAAGGGTTGTACTTTGATGTACTTTGAATGCATGTTACTCCAAACTGACCTTCCAGTCTTCTCTCCCCTTCCTACTGACTCAGCCGTTCTCCCCCGTGAGAATTCAGTGCCCACGCTGCTTCAGAGAGAAGACGGACACAGCAGCCTGTGTTGGTTTGACCATATACTTGTGCGTACTTCGGTTTATCACTGACAAATGATGGGGCTTCATCCTTTTTCCTGTTTAAAACTTTACTGTGAGAGACTGTGATACTGTTGTGAAGCAAAAAACGATTAAAAGTGTTAGGCTGATCCTTGCCGGTAATGACTATGAGAATAACGTACCTCTTAAAAAAAAAGATTGGCTTGTAATAGAATTGTTCATCAATATGATGTTCTCACAAAGCTAAAATGATTTGTTGAAATAAATTTTTTTTTAC